AATGGAATTGGAGTTCAAATACTCCTTCCAAGCATTATTGTTTAATTTAATTAGCTGTCTCCTTACTCAGTCATCCTGCTGCTGTGGATTTCAGTCCCAAGTCTGTGAAAAAGTGTCTGCCCAGCAGACCCATTTGCCTGCACAAAGTAGTCAGAGTCTACTTGCAGACAAGTGAGGAAAAGTTGGACACCTCAGGCCAGAATTCCCCAGTGGCCCTAAATTCTGGTGAAACAGCAAAGAAAGAGAACAGAGAAATTCAGGAAGTGTCCATCTGTCAGTATTCAAGCACAAAAAAAGGACTGGCTCCTTGTTGGTGTTCCTGGCAATTCTAACTGACAGACTGAACACAAAATGAAAGATTGAAAGACCAAACTCTCTAGAGATGTAGGGATTAAAACTGTGATTTGGACCAGCATATCAGGACCAAGCAGAAGTTGAGGGAGCTCTGTGATGTTCTGATGTGTCTCCAGGTTGAGGTATAGCAATTGAACTGGCATATTCTGTGCGGTCAGGAGTTTGCTTCCACTCTGCCTGGCTAACTCCAAGTCTTTGTGGAGGGAAGTTGGGAAAGAATTCCACTTGATTTATGAGTTCAATGTCAGCTAGTGAGTTTACTGGAGAACATCTTTCAAGGCTTTACTTGGGCTGCTGATAAAAAAGGTGTGTGGGGAAAGAAACAGATTCCTTGCCATGTGGGGAAAGAAACAGATTCCTTGCCAAATTACAACTTCTCAGATGGGTATGTATATAAAAGCATTTAAAAGTGGCTGCATCACAGGACAGAGAGAGACAAATCTCCTTTGTAAACTACAGTTACAATATTACCAGAGAAATCCACCATCCTTTGGCCAGTCAGAAAAAGATGTTACTAAGAAATCTTTGTGCAGGAGTGGGATGTTCCAACACACAAAGCAATGTGTCCTTTGGGTTTTGCATCCAGCTGGTATCACTTCCTTATTATATAATCCTCCATCAAACCCCTGTCAGGTAGACACTACAATTTTGATTTGGAGCACCTGCTTTAGTCCAAGTCTGGGATTATGGGATTTATGTCAGAGTCTAAGTACCCAGTGTCTTGGGTTATGGTTTTTGCCACATTCACTTTGCTGCCTGGACCATCTAGCTGCAATTGCAAACTTGACTTTTAATATAATTAGTGGCAAAGCTCTGCTTTTTAATGTCAAAAGATTTGTTGGCTGCTTTTCCCAACCTGCTGCTCCCAGTGCTTGGAGCCCGCATTGAGCCTGAAAGCCCATTACTGGCTGTCATCAGTGAAATAAGATATAGGAAAAAAAAATGCTGATGCATCATTTACTGCAACTGGAAACCACTTAATTAATATACTAATTTTGTGTGTTTAGTAATTAAAATTTAATTAATTCATTTTCCTTATAAGTGTACAGAAGGGGTAACTACTCCTCTAACAAGTGTTTTATTTATTGTTTTAAAGGCATTTGGATTTCATCTTATGAGAAGTAAAACATTCTCTTCATATGCTTCCCTTTTTTTCTTCCAACTAACTCATGAACTAAGAACTGAATCAGTAGAAATTATGCTCAGAGCTGATGGCTCATCTATTTCCTTTCTTTGGCTGCCTTTACAAGTAGGCAAAGAAGGTGCTGACTTGGCAGGCTTCAGAGCCAAGACTTTTTAAGACCAACTAGTGATTTGGAGTTCTTATGTTTTATATGCCTGGCTTGAAGCACTGTAGAGGCAATTGATTTTCAGAGGAATAGCACTCAGCACTTTGTAGAAATCCAGGCCCTTTCTAGCACTTTCAGAGTTATTGAATACCTCTGAAAATCTGGGCCCAGGTCTTTGAGTTCAGGATCTGAAAGTGGAAATCTGGGTGTAGTTGTGCTCCACAGGCTCTGAGGGCTCGGGTTGCCGAAGCCCTTTGGAGGAGAGAGGTTCTATTCAGAAATCTCTCTCCACCTTCTCGTGCTCCTTTTGTTTCCTGCTCTGTTTAGGAGCTGGAAGGAATTGGTACAGCTTTTAGATTAAAATAAAATGCATAATATATGCTCCTTTGGACCCCTGGAAGTATGTTGGAGTTCAGCTTCAGATCACAGATATTTGGGTAGAAAGCAGAATTAGAATATTTTGAATTTCTTAGTTTGGATTAGGTAGATTCATAGAAGAGGAGGAGTTCTGTTTTCTAGCCAGTGCCTGTATCAAGTCACAAGCTAGAGAACAGTAAGAACTGAAAGCAAGGCCACAAAACCAAGAGTTATATATGTACACACTCCCTCCTGGGATACAGCAACCCATCAAGGAGTGCAGGCAGAGAAAAGTGTGTGCTTTCTGCCTCACTTCCTGGATCATCAGGAATCACACCAGTTGACTTCTCTGACTTCCAGCAAGATGGGGCTACAGATGCTTTCAGGCCACAGTGTGGGAATAGCCAGAGAGGAATAAAGCTTAAAAAAATAAACCTGTCTGCATTCCAGCACTTTCTAACCAAGTGAAGCACTGAGAGAAGAGCAATACCAACAAAGAAGGGATGTTTGGGGTTTTTTGCCCAAACACATAACAAAGAAATCCTTTCACCAGACAAAACTGTCTCAATTTTTATCAGTAGGGACTGTTCCATAGTCACTGAGCAGGGCTTAGGCTGGCCTATGTCAAACAGAACTGGCTGAGACTGAATATAAATGGAGTGAAATAACAAAAATCTTGAAGGGGGAGGGTTTCTGCAGCTTAAGAAACTGTTGACATTTAATCAGCAAATTAAGCTGTCAGTCTAAGATTGACAGCTGTGCTGCACTAGCCAAAGTTCAGTCATGGGATCCAGACACTCTTCAGAGTGGGTTAACTCAGCACCTCAAAACAATTCAAATATCAATTTTATAGTTCTCCTAATCAAGCTTGTGGTGCAAAATGTGAGAGAAGATAAGGGGCATAAATTAAGAGCAGTACATTAATGATACACCTATAAAATCAGGTAAACGCACCAATCAGTTTTAGAAGATTATAGATCAAGTGAGAAAGTACTGGGATTTCTCTAAATTTCAAGGGGGAAAAAATTATTCTGATTTGTTATTCTACTGAATTACTTTCCTTTTTAGCTATAATTATTTCACCCACATGTGCAAACTCGGACAGAATTTAAAAGAAAAAAAATCATGTGTAAGACACTGTGTGGAAGTTGGTGTGACAACTCCACTTTAAACATTCTTCTAAAGAACCACTTCAGAGAGACTTAACTTAATCATAATACAAAGATAAGGACAAGAAATATCTAAACATCCACAAAGTTTATAAGTCATTTTAAGTAATGGCTTCCCTTCTTTCTCTCTGCCCCACTGCCATCACAAGAACCAGCTTTCAGTATTTTTAGATATTTCTCCCCATGTATAAACTATTTTCATTACAATATAAATCTGAATAATATTTATTCCACTAATATGAAATAATCTCCTTAAAAATGCAGCATTGTGAAACTTTAAGTAGATAGAGAAAGCTTAAGTGTTTTCTTAGGAATTCTGCTAATCCTCTATTATACCAACTGAAATAATGTGAGAGAGCAGAATAGATCTCAACAAATCCTGTAATACCCAGTTACTTTTTAACTGCAGTGAGCTTTTGCTAATTTATTACCAGAGGAGCTTTACTTTTTGACAAGAATAAAATTAGTATATGACATTCATTATTGTCCCTCAATATTAATATAATTATAGAAAATGTGTTATTGCATATAGCATGCTGTCCAGTTGTACTTCCAGTATTTTACTCAGACCTTTTGTTAGACACCTGCTATCTTGGCTGTAAGTTTGTAAGACAAAAGATCAAGTGTTTTTCAATTTTTTTTTTCATTTCTCAAAAAAACTTCAGTATAAAAAACATAATATTGCTCATGATGAGGAAACATGACACTATAAAGGAAACTAAATTTATTGACTTTTTAATGCCACCCTCCATTAGAATATTTTTGTCCAGATATATCTGATGCCTGTCAAGGTATCAAATCTGGTTTGAAAAAACTAAATAAACCACCAGTCTTTCAAAAGTGTTGACTTGTAAGTCAGTGAAATTAAAATAGATTAAATAGCAAACTAGACACAAAAGTCTCTCCTACTTAAATCTGAAGATTTTTCTTCACCAGTCAAATGGCAAAAAGTACAATTCTTGTCTGACTTGCCTCAAAGCATTCTAAGTGTATTTTCATATTAAATAAGTATTTTTCCCAAATTGATGGACAGAATTTCAGCAGAGAAATGATTATTTGACTGCTATTTCAGTACCAAAGTTAGCCTTAGATAAATTCTAAAGAAACACATTCATCTCAACCTCCTTAATTTCTAATTCAATGCTAACATGTAGCTGATACATGCTAAGGCAGAGAATATTTCTTGGGAAGAACTCACAAAAATGGATCGCTAAGATCATGTGTCTGAGATGAGGAAGAGGAAGAAGAGAGGGAAAACACCTTCAGGTGTTTAACAGGATAAACTAAAATTTGGATTTAAAATATTTTTTGCCAAATTCACACCCTCGAAAGTCTTAGTTATGCTTAGAAGAACTGTGGTAGATGCACCTTAAAAAGCCATATGAAAGAGATTGTTAGTACCTCAGGATGATAATAAATTATCTCTTAATACTACGAAGTTTGTTTGAGGTTAGATAGCAACAATTCTGCATATTGCTTATGCACAATTTGAGAAACCAAATGAGTATAAATATAATTGGGACAAACAAGTTCATTTTAGGATTATCTTCTCTTCAAAAGCACTCATCCTCTTGACCTAATGAAATCAAGACAAAATAGACCTGTACATAATTCCAGCAATTTGCAAATGTTAAAATGATAGTGAATAAAACATCATTTTGAAACATCAGCAATCTTATAATTTCTTTTATAGACAAAAATATTAGACAAATGGATTATAAAATTTTTCCTCTCTGTTGTGTCTCAGAAAAGAAAAATTAAACTGTGAAATAAGTATTGAATAATTAAACTATATGTAATAAATATTATTTAAATATTATATTAAACTTACAAGCCACCAAGATGAACAAAGGACTGGAATACCTCTCCTATGAGGAAAGGCTGAGAGGATTGGGATTGTTTAGCCTAGAATAGAAAAAGGTTTGTGGTAACCTAATTGTGGCCTTCCAGTACATCAAAGGAGCCCACAGGAAAGATGGAGAGAGACTAATTACAAGGGCCTGGAGTGACAGGACAATGAAGGATGGAGAGAGACTAATTACAAGGGCCTGGAGTGACAGGACAATGAAGAATGGCTTCAAACTGACAGACAATAGGTTTACATCAGATTTTACAAAGAAATTCTTTGCTGGGAGGGTGGTGAGGCCCTGGAAGAGGTTTGACAGAAAAGCAGTGGCTGCCACATCCCTGGAAGTGCTCAAGGCCAGGTTGGAAGGAGCTCTGAGCAACCTGTGCTCCAGGTCCAGTGGAAGTGTCCCTGCCCATGGCAGGACAACAGAACCCGTTGACCTGTAAGGTCCCTTTCAACCCAGACCACACTATGAGTCAATCATTCTAAGAGATCTGCAGCAGATTTGTTGTTCTTGATGTGTTCCTGCTAGCTGGGTATGACAACAGGAAGAGCTACACTCTCCCTGGGCATGGGGGAGAAAAAGCCCCTGGCCCCTTTTGTCTACCTTTGCTATTTTCAGTCTGGTCCTAAGGCTTTACAGGAGGAGTTTGCAATGTCTTCAGTGTAAATTAAATTCTTGGGGGAGCCATGGAGGTGCCAAGACCCTTCCCTGCAGAGTGGAGTGGAGGATTTCCTGCCCAAGACAGGGTGGCCCTGTCTGTTTTCTGCTGCTCCAGCAACCCAGTGATCTTTAAGGTCCCTTCCAAAGCAGGCCCACTCTATGACTCTATGATTCCATGATTCCATGTCTATAACTGTGTTTGTGCAGTTGTCAGGTGCCAACACAAACTGAAGCAGCAGACAGGTGGGATGGGAAATTCTGTGCTGCCCTGAGAAAGTTGTGGGTGTGGCTTTTAAGCCACATTCACATGGACAACCTTCAAGTGCCTGAAGATTGTCCATGTGAATGAAGAACACACAGGTGTAGAAGCACAACATCAGTCTCTCAGACTCTGTTTCAAGAAATTTATATATATCCAAGCAGCCTTAGGTCTTCTCTTTTGTTCTCAGGTCTGACTTGTAATCAATAAGCACTATTAAAATTAAATCACTTCATTGGCCAAATGCAGGTCACAGGATTGTGAAAGCAAAATATGCAACTAATATCACTCCCAGGGCTGCTCAAAAATCTAAAAGAATAATTAAATACTGACAGTGTAGGAAATGTTAAAATTAAAATACTGAATTTATATTAGAAAATTCTGCTTTGACTGTTCCTGTTTGTTTTCTCAACATTGTCATTTTCTTTTTTTTGTCCTGGTCTCCCTGTCTATCTCTTATTTCCTATCAATACTGGAGTCTTACCATTTGCTGAGCTCATGTTCAAGTCATGTTCACAGTACATGAAAACAGATACAGTTTGAGGTGAGAATTTCCCTTCTGAATAAGAATTTTTAGCACCGGGGTGGTTTATTTTCCTTTTTTTATTTTATGAAGAAAAATCTCTCTTGTATTTTTAATTTCATTTAAAAACCTGAGAATATCAGAAACTTCTGAAAATACCCAATTGCCAAAAGTTTTGCTGTGATCAATGTTTAAAAATATTTAGCAGCCTTCAAGTTGAGTAATTCAACTGTAAAATCTCTTTTTTTATCATTTTGGTCAGAAAGTTATCAAAGTCTGTTAGCCAAGCATCCAAAATGTTACAGTGCAATTTTAATGATCAATCACAAGTTGATAACACAAAGTTATCATAAAGGTCATGGATATTAAAATTCATTGAACAAACAAAAGATGTAATTGATTTGCATGACACAATCTGGCCAGACAATCTGGTAAACAACAGCAATAAAAGGGGTATAAACTTCTTAGTTGGTATTTTACAAGAATAATTCAGCCAGGTTTTGCACAGATTATAGGTAAGGCTGGAGAGAAGGAGGAAGAACAATTAAGCAAATGAATCCCCACCTCTGCAGTGCTGGCTGACCTATGGCAACAGCTAAACCTGGGCACCAGTTCTGGTGAGTGCTGCCTTCGGAAGAGGGATACGTGCAGCAGCTCTCACTGCTTGCATTTCATCAAGTAAATACTGCAGGGGTGTATTTACTCAGTTAGATGTATGTATGTACTCAGTTAGATTGTGTCAGAGCATGCCAAAAGCCTGTGCTTGATGGTTCACTTCTTCATGAGCATTTCCAGCAAGTGTGTCGCTAGTGCTAAGTGGCTCAAGTGCTGCTGCTGCATGAGAAGCCACAGGAATATGCTGAGCTTTGTAAATGTGTCCATTTTATACAGTCCATGAAATTCATGCTAATTGATCTGAAAGAAAAAGCAGCTCCCATTCCATTACCATGTCTTCCAAGTGCCTTTTAGGAACCAGCAAAATCAATATGTTTCTGTAAGTAAAATGTGAACTATATCTGTGTGGTTATAAATTTGATAAAAAGTGGTCACATTTAAACTAATAACACCTTAATAAAATACGTATCTTTATATTGGCAATTATGTCTCCACGGTCACATTTAACTTGGAAGAAAATAAAAAAAACTATGAAAACAAATACTTTATCATGGGTTGGAAGTAGATGATCATTAAATTCCAAAGCAATCTATTATCATTTACTACTGAGAGAGGGTTTTGCTTTTACGTTTGGCTGTTTTCTAAATGCATTTTAGTGTTGTTATTTTAGCTACATTTTAGCCACGTTGAAAAAAGGCCTAGGAATCTGTATGAGCAGGGTCACAGCCACACCTGTGGCTGCAGCTGTGGTCAGATGTGTCTGGGTTACACTAGTGTGTCCAGCCAAGACATCAATGTCTTGCAACCATGAAGCAACCTATTAAAACACATCTGGTCCTTTGTTGCCCATCATGAAACACTGTTTGCTCTTAGAAATGAAAAATCCTGTCAGACACTTTTATTTGAGTTTCTCTTATCTATTTTTCACTCTGCAAATCCCTAGTGACTCTTCCAGTTTAACATTCAATTTGCATCCATTTGTAGCCAAAGAGAAAATTATCTCTGTATTTTCAGTAGATGATAAGTCTGCCAGGTGCCTCTAGACCATGGCACTAATCACTTTATGGGAAGTTTCAGCTAAGGCTGGCCAGTCACAGATAAAGTTATACAGTTTTTTATATAAATGGATGAAGGCCAAAACCACCTCCTTTCCTTGGGGAAGTGGCATTTTTTGTTTTGCTCACACACACTGAAATATAAGCTACCAGTTCTCAGTGTTAACCCTATTTTGTTAAGGCATTAACTGCAAACTGCCCTCTGAATTGCTTTTAGCCAACTTAATTCTGTGACTACTGCTACAGAACTTCAGCAGAGTTAAAGCCCCAAGATGTCTATTAAGACTTAAAACCCCTGAACACTGAACAGTTTTACACATCAATGCTTTTAAGGTACTATGGTTAGCTACATCACAGAGAAATAACTTACTGTCTTCATTTCTTTCCTGTGGCATCTAATTTCCACTAAACAGTATTTAAATCTATTTATTCAGTTACGGGTCTGATAGTTTTAGAACTGGCATCTCAGTATCACTCACATTTTCAAAGCTACCAGTTGCTATGTTTTCACTACATTTTCCAGACAGGAAAGCATGTTATTTCTGTATTCATCATGTTCAATCCATGCTATCAAGTTTCTTAAAGATATAAAAAAGCCCAAATGGTAGTTCCTTGAAAAGGTGCTTTCCAAAGAGATTGAAAAATAATAACTTGATCTGTGCTCTGATTTCAGAGCCCTGGCAATAATTTTGGCAGCAAAAATGGAACAAGCTAAATCCCCAGTAATTTTTCCCCAGTAAGGAGTGTAGAAATAAAGGATAAATTAAGTTGTAAGGCTACCTGTGTTTAGAGCTTATATGACCCAATCCCAGCATTAGGAACTATTCTCTTTTGATGTCATCTTTCTTAGAAAAATAAAAAGTAAGCTGAAGAAGGGTTATAAAGGCATAAGTTTTGAACTTGTAGTAGGATGCATTATCCCTTTGAAAATTCATCTGTGTCCTGGAAAGTATAAACTGCCCTTCCAGAAGTTCTGGTCATAAGGAGCAGACAGATACATTTGAACCTAGTAATGTTCAGCTTCTCTCAAAATGGTTTTTATTTTATGCCTCTCCAGGATTTTTGCCCCATTGCCTATATTTCAGAGAAATAAGACAATGTTTGTTTTATCTTACAACCCTGCAATAAAAATAAATTATTTGTACCCATCAGTTTTGGCACCAGATGCCTTTCCCTTTGTTCAGCATAAATCAGTGAATGCTTAATTTATTTTTTTATTTTAATATTAATACAATCACAGAGTCACATAATCACTTAGGTTGGAAAAGGCTCCAAGATTGTCATATCCAAAACTTGACCAATCACCACCTTTTCAACTAGACCATAGCACTAAGTGCAATCTTGAGCACCTCCAGGGGGGAGAACACCGCCACTTCCCTGACAGTTCCAAAGTTTAACAATCCTTTCCATGAAGAAATTCCTCGTGATGTCCAGCTTGAACCTTCCCTAGTGCAACTTGAGGCCATTTCTGCTTTTCCTGTCAGTTGTTGCTTGGGAGAAGAGCCTAACCCCCACCTGGCTACACCCTCTTCCCAGGGAGTTGTAACAGGTGATAAAGTCTCCCTTGGGTCTCCTTTTCTACAGGCTAAACTGCCCAGCAGAAACACTTTCCTTTGCTCCTGCAAAGAATCCCTCTTTTGTCTGTTCATCCTACACTGTGTTTGCAAACATGTGCAAAGCAATGAACTGTAGTTCTTGTTTTGGCATCTTTGTTCATATGATGCACACAGGCCTGACATTTGCTGTTTGTAGGGTTTTCTACAGTTCCTCGTAGGACTCATTTTCATCCTTGCTGCCACACGCCCTCTTTATTTGTAGTTGTCTTGTGTCCTGTTTATTGTGATTTTCCAAAGCCTCATGAGGCTCTGGACAGACTGGGTGGGCTCAGAATTTCCTCAGTGAGTAAGTGCAAATAGTGAAAGGACAGGAGGAAATGGATGCAGTCTAACTGTGTAGGTTAGATTAGATGTTGGGAAAAAAAATCTTTTCTGTGAAAGAGGTGAGGCACTGCAATAGGTTGTCTGGAGAAGCTGTAGATTCCTCATCTCTGGAAGTGTTCAGCATGAGGTTGTATGGGGCTCTGAGCAGCCTGGTCTAGAGGAAGTTGTCCCTGTCCACAGCAGAAGGGTTGGAACAAGATAATCTTTGAGGTTCCTTCCAACCCAGGCCATTCCATGATTCTATGATTCTATGAGGCTGGAGTTCAGAAATCAGTGTCAGAGTGGTGACCTGGTGATGGAGCTCTGCCTCACAAGTAGATATCTCAGATGGGATAATCCAGTTGCCTGATGAATTAGTACATTAATCACCACCATTAGCATCAGTGTGCCTTCCATTTCTTGCCAAATTCTAATGGCTTCCTAAGTGATTATTCCTGAGCTCTTCCAACAGTTTCTTTAGGGGGACTTATCTGGTCAGATGAGAACTCTGCAGCAAAGATATCTACAACAGTGTTAGTGATTTAGACTGTGCAATTCCAGAACATACAAACTTCTAGGGTGTACTTCAGCTTACTCTAAGGTGGATTTTTTAAACAGATTATTCAGATTTCTCTCCAATGGCTGTACAAACCATTCAGGGAAACAGCAACAACCTAGGTATCTGAAACCAAATGAGGATAATTAGTGTTTCCAGATCTCTGTGATGAGCTCACAGCAAAATATGCCATATATTCTTATACCAGTAGTAAGTTCTTATGTGTTTTCACTTCTCTTAAGTCTTGTAAGTTTTGGTTTTTGACATGGAATGCAAAATCCACAGGGCTTCTATTATAAGCAGCTTTCCTACCTACTTTAGCTGAAAACAGTTGAACATATCAGTGTCAGGACCAGATATGTAGACAAATAAAATTATCTTCTGCCTACCTTCTGTTTTGATGATGCTTGTGGCTGGAAAAGGCAGCACTGGGCATGTTTAAAATCTCTCCAGCTGTACCTCACACTTCAGAGATTATTTTGCTGTATCCCTGCTATGCCCAGTGTTGAGTGATCATCCTGGAAAAGAAAAAGGTTTGTGGTAACCTAATGCGGCCTTCCAGTTCCTGAAAGGAGCCCAAAGGAAAGATGGAGAGAGACTAATTACAAGGGCCTGGAGTGACAGGACAATGAAGAATGGCTTCAAACTGACAGACAATAGGTTTAGATCAGATATTACAAAGAAATTCTTTGCTGGGAGGGTGGTGAGGCCCTGGCAGAGGTTTGACAGAAAAGCAGTGGCTGCCACATCCCTGGAAGTGTTCAAGGCCAGGTTGGAAGGAGCTCTGAGCAACCTGTGCTCCAGGTCCAGTGGAAGTGTCCCTTGCCCATGGCAGGACAACAGAACCAGTTGACCTGTAAGGTCCCTTTCAACCCAGACCACACTATGAGTCAATCATTCTAAGAGATCTGCAGCAGATTTGTTGTTCTTGATGTGTTCCTGCTAGCTGGGTATGACAACAGGAAGAGCTACACTCTCCCTGGGCATGGGGGAGAAAAAGCCCCTGGCCCCTTCTGTCCACCTTTGCTATTTTCAGTCTGGTCCTAAGGCTTTACAGGAGGAGTTTGCAATGTCTTCAGTGTAAATTAAATTCTTGGGGGAGCCATGGAGGTGCCAAGACCCTTCCCTGCAGAGTGGAGTGGAGGATTTCCTGCCCAAGGAAAGGGAGCAGAGACAGGGTGGCCTTTTCTCTTTTCTTCTTCACCAGCAACAGAACAGCAGCCTGGTAACTATCTACAGCACGAGCAGCCCAACTTCTCACTCTGCTGGAAGCATGACAAGAAAAGGGGAAGGATGTTCTAGAATACAAAATGAGACAGATGGTCTGTTAAAAAAATTTAGCAGCAGCAAATCTCTCTAAAAGGCAGTTGGGGTCTACCCAGAAATAAACTGAAAGAGCCAGAGGAAGCCAAATTACTGCTGCTGTTCCAATTTTGTGGATGCACAGTTGGGTAAGCCTTCAAAATAGAGGGCCAGAGTCTTCCCTACATGTACTTAGGTAGATATGCCAGTAGTGAATTTAGCAATCAATCAGCAGTCAAGGCAAGGCACTCCAAATGTAATGTTTGTATTGAATTTTCTGGGCAGGGGTAAGATGAGGCTGAGGGTTCTCTCTTTCTCCTTTTCTTGGGTCTCAAATTTAACTGCTGGAAGAGTCTCAATGTGATACACCTGTGAATAAAGTAGATGTGATGCTGAGAAGTAGCAGTGTATGAAAGCTATTGGATTATGCAGGTAACTGATTAGGAATCCCAGCCAAATATTGTACTTCTCTTTGGCCCATGCTAAATGATGAGACAGGGAGAATTTTCCCATTTATGCAGAACTACTAAAGCCCTGTTTCTGCTTCTAGTGTTTTAATTCCAGTAGTTTAAAGCATGTCAACAAAAACAGCAGTCTCTCAAAGGGAAAAACTGTTTAATTCTGTGACAATGACATTTGCTTCATTGCAATGAGTATGCCAGTATGTATGAAACAAGATGCAAGTGTCAAAGCTGTCATCCATGCTTGCACAGAGGCCAGCTTCTAAACCAGCAGCAAATGGTCAAAATGAGAGCCTTGTGGCTCAGATCAGAAAAGATGACACTGGTTGCTTGGGCAGCACAGACAGTATTGAAGGACTGTGGATGAATAGAGTACATTTTGGAATTTTGTTACTGGTGGATGGAGAAGAAACTGGGGAAACATTGTGGAAAGTCACTGAGCCATCACAGGTGTAATGGGAGCTTTTAGAGGACCGAACCAAGCCCTTTATTTTTTTCAAACACAGGATAGAATTTAAAAGGTAGAGCCTATGCACAAACCAAGATGCCAAGTCATGTGCTATGATGATCACAAAAGCCCACAATGGGTCCAGGTGAAAGGGGTCATCTGGACCCATTCCCCTGCTCAGGCAGGGTCATCCCAAAGCACATGGCACAGGATTGAGTCCAGATGGTTCTGGAATATCTCCAGGTGAAGGAGACACCACACCCTCTCTGGGTGATCTGTTCCAGCACTCGGTCATTGCAGAGTGGTTCTTCTTCATGTTCAGATGGAATTTCCTGTGCATCAGTTTCTGCCTGTGGCCTCTTGTCCCATTGCTGGGCCCCACTGAGCAGAGCCTGGTCCTTGACAGACATTGATGAGCTCCCCTCTCAGTCACTGAGTGACTCAGCAGAAGTCAGTATCTCCAGGCATTGGGTCTGCATAGGCAAGATGCACAGGACCACTTTGTGATTATCTCAACAAGAATTCCCCATCTGGATCCCATCTGTGTTAGCTTTTCTCTGCATGGCATCTTGGTTATAAGGGCTTTTTATTTGCATTTCTAGAGAAGTCTAACCCATCTTTCAAAAAGATAGGCTCTTTCTGGAGGAATGCAATCAGGAGGAAGGAAGTACCTGCAATGCCCCTTGAACTTCACCAATTAAAAAGAAATTACTGTTTCACATTGCAATGCTTCACCACACCAACCAATCCCTGAAAATAGAGCACCATATGTGGGATACCTGCTTACCTCAACTGAGAAACTTTAACTGGAGATGAAGAACTGGGGAAGCTGAAGATGAATCTCATAACAGCAAGGGCCAGGGAAGCAATACTTGGGAAGCTCAGAAGACGGAAAGTGAAGCAAGTTGTGGAGGTGCAGTGAAACTGGTGTTGCTTTAGTTATATTTGCTGACAGACCACTTCACAATTAATTTGCACTCCCAGCTCATGCATGAAGCAAAGAACCAGCTTATCACCTGAAACCTGATATGGAAAACTGCTCCTTAGAAAGCGCCCTGTCTCTCTGGGGATTTTAATATTCACATGTATTCCTGGCATCAGCATGCTTGCCAAAGAAACTGCATTTTCTTGGACAAGCATCACTTTATAATCTTCAATACAAATATGGGAATCAGGTCACTTTGTGTCTGTTCTTTATTCTCCACACTGCTGTACCATGTACACACAAAGACAGAAGCAATAACTCTTTGAAGTTATTAAGCAGCATTTTCTCTGGAAATATTGACTTAGATTTAGAGAGATAGGGCAGGGAACCAACAAAAGCTGCCACAGAGCAGAGTGAGCAGCAGGGCTCAGTACAATAGGAATTGATGGTGTTAGAAGACTGACACAAAAAACTCTCTTTCTTGTCTGGCAGGGGACAAAAGACACACAAGAAGAAAAGGGACTCTCTCATCTGTCCTGGAAAACAGTGAGACAAGTCTGGAATTCCTACCTATCAACCAGGTTGTGATCGCCTCTGCCACTCAGCAGGATTTTGACAGACTTTCCAGGTAAGTGAAAGTCAGATCAGAATTGGCTTTATGAGACAAAGTCCTATTTGTGTTGTCTGACACTAGGACCCCATATCTATTCTATTATTGTTCATGTCAGAAAGAAACCAAACTTGACCAGCACTAGAACAAGGATATGTATGCATTCTCCTTTGCTTCCCCCTACAAAACTTCTTCCAGAGGGTGCTTCATCCTGCCAGGTAAATATTGCTGCCTTGTACATCCTTAGGTTAAATTTTGATTCAGAATAATTTTACTGGAATCAAGATGCCTGATTTCTCTTACAAGTTTTTAATTCTCCAGTTTCATTATAATAAGACTAAATGCACATGTCTAAATGTGAAATTACTAAAGCACTAAAGCAGACTGGAACACCTTTTGAGACAGAAAACAGTTCTCTGAAAATGCTGATCTACATTTCTGGCTAAGAAGGAACAATATACCAACTCTGTGCTTTCCCAGCATCAGTTCACTCCAGCACCAGTTCACAGCACAGCACTGATTTGATTTTCACTGATTGCCAGCAGCCTCAAGGGGCCAGCTGCTTTAGCAGCTGGAGACCAGCCAGGAGTAAAGTGGCCCTGGACACCAGCCCCTGTGCTGATGGCAGGGGAAGGAGGTGCACAAACTACTGCAGCAACTGCTCAAAGATTCCTGAAATGGGGCAGAAAACCAGCAGCTGCCAACCACTCTAAGGCCAGCTTTGATCCAGCAAACTGGTGCAAAACTGTCCTCATTCTTTAGTGGATCTTGCTACATATGTGTGAGCTTCCTTATATTTCTTTTTCTCATATCTTCTTATATTGAAAGCAAAAAGTGAGTCTCTGTCAGGGAAAGAAAAGCTCCCAATATATTTGCTTACTTTCTAAAATCAAATCAACTTAATATTTGGCATTTTTTTTTCTACATGTGTACTGAAGTTCCTCTTCTTAATCCAGGGCATAAAGCTAGTAGAAGGGTACTTGGGCTTCCTTTACAATATTTGAGGTTATTTTAAGGGTCAAAAGTGTTTTTCCTTTTGAATGCAACACTTTGGAGTCAAAATAAAAATACTCTTTTCTAGTATTATAAACTAATATCGTTTTCCATGAACTGCCAGTTATTAGTAAAAGCAGCATTCTCACTCTAAAAGATGTTACAAAGTAGCTATGGGTCAATATGACAATTAACAGCAGACTTACATCAGAACAAAAGGCAAACAGGAAATTGTGTGTACTTCAGCAGATTCTTAATAATTCACCTGATAAATTACACTGTTGTAGCTAAGGTGGGTGAAATTGTTTCAAAACATGTTTGTCCAGATTTCATGTTTTTGAAATAAACCTTCTGCAGGCCATCAGTAAAAACACCTTTTTGTCTTTTTTTTTTTTCTCAAACTTGTGTATTAAACATGTTGCTAGTGCTCTGGCAAAAAACAAAAACATGTAAGATGTATTTTTTTAAATGCTGTTTTGTGATTCTAGCTATACTGTGACTATTCACTTCTTATTTCAAATTCACATTTTTAGTCGAAATACAATAGCCAACAGTATAGAACTGTTCTACAGTATCAACAGTGCTTAAACCTATTTAGTGATCTGACTTCATATGTCTCTAGATAAATACTCTCAAAACAAAATTTTACCATTAATTGTTATAGGCAAGGGGATTTGCTTGTACTTGAATTTATTTTTGTGATAGTTATTTAACCTAAGTGGAAAAACCCCTCTATAAATACAAAAAATGGGTCTTGTAAATGGGTAGTTTGAAGACAATCTTTTCATCCTTTTCAGTGAGATTATTGTGCATAAATATTTTACAAAATAACCTACTCCACTGAAAATTTTGGGTTGAACATGTGTGATTTGATAAATATTATAAACACTCTAAAAAATTATTCAAAAGAAGACAATGAAACGCCAGATTTTGCACATTTTCAAAATTTTAATGTTAAAATATATGCTTTGTTAACCCCAACTGATTTATACTGATTCAGGAGCTGGTCCTTGCAGATATTTTCTAAGTGTGTTCCCATAAGTTCAAAGATATTGTTAACAAATTCTTAAATGGAAAAATATCACAATATAAATAGATGGCTTCACTCCCTCATCTATGCACATACAGAAACAAGGTACATACAGAAAATGTGCTTTCTAAATACATAAACACACTTAGGTGTAAAATTTAAGTCTTTGTCCACCTAGACAGATAAAATCCTGAGCATCTTTGGGATCCTAACATTTCTAAATACCTTTGTTGTCAGAGGAAACCTATACTTTCGAGCAACCCTTCACATCAGCCTGTGTGCACTTCAAAGGTTTCTGTCTACCTTTTGAAGTGCACTGTCCATATCCAACACTAAAGCTTTTCTAAGTGGAGACTGGCAGCTGCAAAAATAGACTGTAAATCTGGTTTCAGCCAGACTGTAAGTAGATTTAAAGACATATTTTAAAAGGTCCTGAGAGCCTGTCTTGGTTATGCTGCCAAGAATTTCCACCTTGACATTTTCACTCAGTAACTCCTTTCCCTAGTGTCCCATCAGAAACCTCTCTGCTCCTCATCACCTCTCTGTAATGCTTCTTAAGACAAAACAGAGCTGGAGATGAAGTCCCTGATGTATGGTGCCTCCAATGAAAGGCTGGAGCAAATGGTCAAGGCATTATCTGTAGATAAAAACACAAGTATTCTTTCCACATGCTGCTGTGTGGATGGTAATAGGAGCAAGATAAATTCTCTGTGCTTATGTCTGTAATTCTGTTATAGAAAGCAACTGCTGTGGACTGCGTTTTTCCATTCTTACCCAGAAGCTTCCTCTGCTGCTTCTGTGCTCCACACTGGAGTCTTCAGTGCACAGCATTTTGAAGGTACAAAACACTAGGAACATGGGAACCTAAGCCACCTCTTTCTGTATCATTAGATGTCAAAATGCTTTACAAAGGCAATAGTCATAGTTACTTCACAATACAGCTGTAAAAATAAAGTTATGTCACAGACACACACAGTCTCTTTGAGGTTGGAGTGATCTCTTTAGGCCCACCAAGCACACCAGTGTGAAAGCAAGGAACAGGACCTTGCAGCTCAGGTGCCCAAAAAATTATTACATCAGTGAATCCACAGTATTTTTTTAGTCTGTCGTGGGAAATGGAAAAATAGAAACTTCCACAGATGCTGAAGGGTTCAATCTGCAGCCTTAGAAAGAGCTTGGGTTAATGTAGTGATAAAGATACACAAACATTAAGTAGAAAAATTATAAACCTATGTTCCTATAATTTTAAGTAAGAATATGCCTTGAGTAAGTAAGAAGCTGTAATAATGTGACTTATAGAGTAGGCCAAGGATCTGGAAGCTATAATAGAGGTGTGTGTGGGTACGTGACCTCTCAGTTCATTGGCTATAAGACAGACGCAGTGCAGCAGAATTAAGTAAAGATGATGGGCTATTAAGTAGAAACAAGTTTTAACTGTCTATTGGACCAAAATGTTATATATTGCTGTGTGAAGAAGAAACCCATGCCTACCTTGAGCTGACTTGTTGCTCCTCTCCAAATCTCACACCTTCGAGCCCAGTATCTTATCTGGCTTACTTGAGCAATAAATCATCTTAAATAGCACCGTGGTTCCATCCCTCGTTTTTCATCTTGACAGTCTATGGCATCTGGTACTCACAAAGAACACAGGTATTGGTTACAGCTTCAAGTATCTCATTTGAACATCTCAAATCCTGGTCTTCTGAACCCAAACATCATACAGACTGTCAGCCTTTTCCATAAAATGAGTCTCTATTACTACTCTTCTGCTACATTTTTGAGGGGGTGTTTCCCTTTGTAGAACCAGATGGGATTTTTGTTAAGCACCTAACAATGACCATCAACTGGAAAAATGCCTCATTTATTGAGACTGAAAGAACAATCCTTTCTGGATTGGATTCTGGATCCTTCTTTGTGGGAATTTGGTTAAGGCTGTATTTAAGTCTGTTATGGTTCTCTATTTGATTGTGATGTCTGGCACAGTTAGAATCAGCATATACTGAAAATGTAACATTATTTTGAGCTAGATCACCTTAACAGACCTTTGAAGGAATGATGTCAGATAACTTTGTAATATATGGGGCCCACTTACATTGAGCTTGTCAAAATTTTAAATAGATGAGTATCAGTGCTGGCAGAAGACCTGCCTTCTTCCTGGAAGAGTATTCTAACTTGGTTTATATAGCAAAAGAGAAGGAAAAACATGAGAAGAGCAGTTAGGATATTCTGGGTAAATTCAAAATATTTTGAAAATATTCAGGAAGATTGATGAAATGTTGAAGTGTTGTTTTTTTCAAAGGTGAGAGTAAGAAATTATTACTTTTGATACCTCTACCAGTGTCTTGAAGCTCTTACTCCTCATTCCTTCCTGATCAGCATTTTAGAGAAACTGTTCCAGTTCTTTCCTGTGCTCTTACTGATTCCCTTTTTGGTAGTGCTCTATAGCAATGCAGGATTTATCCTAAATTAAAGCACTTGCAAAGACAGTGTATTAAATTCACAGAAGCTTTGGCTTGCTTTTCAAGATTTACTGAGAGGTTTTAATATAACTATGGGAAAACAAGTCTGTCTCGTTTTTGTCTTTTATATTTAGCATTACAAAATCCATACAATGTTTAGTGCTACAGTATTTTCATAGAAAAAAAAGGCTTAATATTTAACAATGCAGAATAACTTACCAGTATTAATATTTTCATTTTTAGTGAGTAACGTCCATGATGCCCCAAAGTTGCTACTGAAAATTAATTCTCAATGAGGAAATTATTAACAGTAAGAATACGCTGGAGGAATAGTGACATCTGGCTTAATTCTTTGATTTCCATTCTGATAAGGCTCTAAAATCTAATAAAATTGATTCATAACAAAAAAAATAAGCATCATAGCATGTTTGGAGAGGTGGAATCTCTATACTCTAACTGCCTTGTCTAGAGCAGTGTATTTATTGCATTAAAATTTAAGTTGACAGTAATGGAGAGGTGGTGCTGCTTTTTCCTTTAAGAAAAATTAAGATCCCTTCCAATCCAAATAATTCTGTGATTCTATGATTTTCAAGCTCATATTTGAAAATGCACATGCTTATACCTGTGCACATATGTGCAACATGTCCTGATTCAGGCGAGTTCCTCTCTCTCAGCTTGCCATTATCTCTGTATGGCCAGTGCAGAGCTCAGCAGGCAGAGAGGGGAGATGGGGGTGTCAAAGAAGGAAGATATGGAAAGTAACATCAACCATGCCTGGGGGATAGGCAGTAATTAGGATTTTACTGAACTCCAGCTGATTTTACCACTCAAGTAGTTGTGTCCAGCACATGTTCAGTGCCTTTGTCCTGTAGAATGGGCAATATGATGAGCCCCAAAGCCCACAGTTGCATGCTCTCTTTAGCATGCAATTGATATACATATTTTTAATAAAAATGGTGCATTAAAGCAAAGGAAGCTCTAAGCTGTTTTGTTGAACAACATGCCTGAAGTAATTTCCTGGGTTAAGGAGAGAGGTTAAGAATGAAGTATACCCTTGGACAGAAAGTAAATGCCTAGAACTTAAGCAGTTATTAACCATGGAGATGGGGAGGGCAGTCTGATGATTTGCACCATCCAAGACATGCTACTGGTACAGCCTGTAGTGGACAGACTCTTTGAGGATGGGAGTAAAGATCCATGATCTCCATATTCCCTGAAGAATGTCTCAGGAAAATTTGTTGAGTTTCTTAATATCCTTTTCCAGGCTTTGTGCCTGCTGGAAAGCTTTGCTTATTCAGCATCTGGAGGTGTCAGCTTCTAAAACAATGGCTTAGCCCGAGGGCTTAGCAATTAGACCCTGATCCATTAAGATATTCTATTTAAAAGCTCTCTGAACCCACTCCTTGCCCCCTCCCCAGTGCAGTAGCAAGGAAAATAACAGGGCTTTCTGTAAGTAGTGTGCATTTCACCCCAGTGGTGTTTCAAATGAAACATGCAGTTAAGCAGATTCCATATTTGCAGGATTCCTTCACATTTCAACCAGTTTTAAGAGTTTCTTCTCTTTTAAAGTCTTTAATTATCCCTTGGGTTTTTTTTCCTATATTTATACCTAATGTTTTAATATTACTGATAGAATTGTTTTGAAATTTTCCAATCCTGGTAGTTATTTTTGCATTGCACAGGAAAACATGAACTGGGGATCATTTCCACAAGAGATACACTATCATAATTCATGATAATTCGGGTATAGCAGGAGAAATCAGCAGGCAAGCCCTAGTCAATACATCAGAGAGAAACTGATTACAAATGTGTGTCATAATTTATGCTAGTAGAGGGTTTGTTTATTCTGAAAATTGGGATCTCAGACTGGGCTATGTTTTAATAAGCACAAGCAAAATGCTGTCTTTTTTAAAAAAATACTCTCACAAGTTCCAGACATGCTGTGATTCTTAGGGCTGAACTGAGAGTTGGACTTCAAAGATCCTTCTGGGTCTCTTTCTGCTCAGGATATTCTGTGACTCTCTGATTCCATGGTGAGGTTTTACAGCTCAAGAAGAGAACTCATGACCCTGAGCACGCCCTACAGTGCTGGTGCCCCAAATCTGTTTATCATCAGGGATATCTCAAAATCCTTCCTTGAATACATTTGGAGAAGCAGCAGGACCATTAAAACTTCACCAAAAAAAAAAAAAAAGAGCTCATAAAATTCACAAATAAAAGCTATAACCTGGAAGGGTAAAATACAAAAAAAAATTATTTTAATGACTGCATTTTTGTTTATACCTAATGAGAATATACTGGGTGTGACAGGTATAGATTGTGTGTGTTTATTGGCTGTGTGTAGTGTTAGTGTCTCAACACATTGTGCCTGGAGTCACTGATGTTTCCAAAACCACCCAGCTGGAAAGATGGCTCAGCCCACTCTGGCTTGAGCATCATCCTTTTCCCTGCTCTTCAGGAGAAACAAGAATCTGTAAACCCAAAAGTGTCTAGAGCAGAATTGAAACAGTTACCTCTCTGTGAAACTCTCAGTGGGTCACAGAGAGGCAAACACAAAAGTGCTTTAATCTCATTTGCATTTTATGTCATCAGACTGGCTCTAAGGATGAACACATTGCACTATAACTAATCCTAAAAGTTAAAAAAAAAAGAAAAAGTAGGGCAAGCCCTGCAAAAATAATCATATTAGAACTGAAGTGATATTTGCATTTAAGGAGGATCATTTTGACATTCTGAGCTTTTGTTCTGCATTGCTTTCATGCTTTCAACTTTTTGCTTATAGCCAAGAGGGTTACAATCTCTTTTCTTCCTTTTCTGCTGTTATTTTATGCAATATTTGACCCTGTAACCTGGACTTTAAGAAAAAAGTTTTGTATTACAGGGCATATAATACAATTGAGGGAATGATTTCTTTTTTTTATAAAGCCATACAAATTAATATTTTTTGAATGCTGAAAAAAATAGCATGCATTTATATGTGGATAGGAACATGTGTACATACATATATGAATGACTAATGACTGCCTGTGTTCATTGGACACTGTGAGTACACACTTGTTTATTTGAAGTATCAAAAATTCTCTTTCTTGGCCTAAAGATTATATTTGCAACTTTTGTTCCTGGAGTGCATCGTGGTTTTCATCAGATTAATATTATTTCAGAATTTTATTTCATTGAATAGTATAACATTGGGTACATCCATGAAAGGTTTCTTGCATGTTTTCCTAGTTTGCTTTAGGAGTGTGAAATATAGGTTGAGTAGTCATTGTTCTAGTCTATCAGTTTATGGACTCTGTAATCTTTTAATAGTCTCTTCAACTCTTATCAATTCTGTTCCTAATTCCTCATTTTACTGCCTTGGTAATCAGATTCTTGTGCAGAGAAATCTCCACCTTCCTCACTTTTTAAAGACGATGCAGTAATGACTTATCTTTTGTTACAGTTCATCCTTTCCTTTTAGCTAGATTTTTTTTTTTACTGAACTTTCTTCTGAGCTCATTTAGAAAAAACATTGCAGCAGAAATAGCACAACCTGTTTCTAGCCTCTAACCCTACCAAAACCTATTACCAAATCTCAAATGCAGAGTAGAGAAAATTTAGGCTGACCTATGTCCTCTCAAAGTGCCACAAGAAGCAGTGATTCTCCTGAGCCAGTTCCAGTGCATCTTTCTAGGAGCCACTGAGCTGAAAATAACCCTTTTGACTAAATATCACCTTTAATCACTAATTGCCCTGTTCATTAAAGACCCCATTGCACCACAACAGGTTTGCTCAGAATTTCTTTCCTGGTTGCAATCCCAATCCCTTTTCCTAACACAGTGTAAGGAAAATGCTGCAATACAATTCTTCTTCCTAAAAATTCTTCCTGTTCTAGCAACACACAAACCAGCCACATTTCAGTGGTGCCCTCTGCTCTGATGCAGCTGCTGTCCTCCACTCCTCCTGGCCCTTTCAAGGCTGCACTACAAGTCCCTCACAGATCTTGACAGGTACCAATTCCTTGTACTCCTTTAGCAGCCAGCCCCAAATACAGTCAGTGCCAGTGACAGGGAAGAGAAAAGCAAGCCCAAGTAAATTTCTCCTAAAGTTATTTGCCACTGGGACTCAACCCAGTGGGAATTCAATGGGAATTGCTCCAGTGATAGCTTGAGGTAATGAATCCAAGGGCTGTGTGAGTTCTGGAAAGCTCAGACCTGCAGAGTACCAGAAGTGTCTGCACTTCTTTTCTTGATGTAGACAGAGCAGGGGCCAGAAATCACCTACCAGTCATCTGCTTCAGAAAAGAAATTCCCCAGAAACCTCTGATATCTTGGCCCTATTACAATTTTGTCTGTCTGCTGGTTCTGTGTTGGTTAGTGCTAGAGATGTGCATAGTACAGACAAACAGAGTTTTGCAACCCAGTAAACAAGTCATTTCTGGATTTTGGAAAAAAAAATATGAAGATGAGGATAACATTTGGAAATTCTCAGGCCATGACACTTCTCCATATGCAAGATTTGTAACATTTTGACAGAGTGAGTGTGAGGTGCCCCTGCCCAGGGAGGCAAAGATTTAGCTTCAGACAAGCATTGTTAAAGCGAGAGGTGTGGCTTTAAAGCCCCGGAAGAGTGAATTCCATCTCTCTATCTCAGAGGATGTGCCCTGTGAGCCCAGGAGGAGTTGCCCCACACTGGATCCTTGTGGGGTGACAGCCAAGGGGTTCTGACTGGTTCTGTGCCCCTGGGGTTTCTCCCTTGCTGTGTTCCCATTAGACCCTGACCTTAAACTCCACTCAGGCTCTGTCCCATAAAACCCAACACTCTGCCTCTGTTCAGGGCTCTCTGTCTCTGGATTTAAGCTGAGTTTGTTCCTATGTTGAATAAATGGTTTCCTGAGCTTAATCAAGCAGAAATCTGTCTCCTTGAGTCCCATGTCAGTCACCAGAATCCATAACCTCCCTGGACTTGATCCTGCAGCTGCAGAATACATCAGGTGAGATTAGCTGTGATTTAAGAATTAAAACAGTCCTGTTCAGGTTTTGAGGGATTTTCTACACTAGAATAAAGGCTTCTGAACATTTCTAATGAGCCTGGATTTTGTTTTACCCATCACAGCTTGTTGTTATCATAGTTTGCTTTAACAGAAGCCTAAAACCTAAAAATAAAAGTCTGCATTTAAAGATTTTGTTTAGTGGTTGGTCAAGCCTTCATAGTTTCTTTACAGAATTAATACCTTTTCCTTCCTGCACTGAAATTAGCAGCAGTTTTCTTGAACACATCTCTGTCATACTAACTGAAGCTACAGAATCTGACCAAAATGAAACAACAGCATGTCTTTACAAGCTACTTACTTGCATTTATTTTAAAATGTTGCCACTGCACTATAGCTAA